CAGCACTGAAAAGATTTGTGTCACACCTGTTTGCTTCTCCCACAACAGCTGTTGGCAGCCACTCGCTGATCTGTTTATTATCTCTATAGTTTTGCCTTTTCTAGAATAACTATGTTAAAAATTTTAAGTGTTTTCCTTCCTTCTTTCTTTCTTTTTTAAACTAGCAAAGCATTTTTTCAAGTAGTGGGAAATACAAATACTTACATTTGGAGCTGAGTATGGTGGCCATGCCTGTCATCCCAGGACTCAGGAGGCTGAGGCAGGAGGATCACAGGTTGACGGCCCTATTCCTATCTCAAAATAAAGGTCTAGGAATGTAATTCAGTGGTAAATTGCCCCTGGGTTCAATTCCCAGTACCTTTAAAAAAAAAAAAAAAAAAAAACTTGAACATTGTTGTGTACTTTTTTGTTTGAACATATGCTGTCAATTCTCCTGCACATGTAACCTGTGTATTTCTTAGGATAAATTTGTTGTCATATAAAGTGGAATGTTATCTAGTGCTTTGACTTGGGGTAAAATGCTGGAAGATTGCTACTTCTCCATGACATGGCATTCAGTGAATACTGAATTCACGTTGTTGTCTTGACTCCATTGTATAGAATGGAGAATTTTGGTTCAGATGAGGTAACAGTAGGTAGACTTCCTCTGGAATTCTGTCACAGATACATCCTGAATTATGTATCACTCAGTTTTCTCTCTGAAAATAGCAAATGATCTCTCACAAGAAGTTGTAAATAAGATCTACTGGTGAAGCTGGATGTGGTGGCACATGCCTGTGATCCCAGCTACTCAGGCTACCGCAGAGGATCATAAGTTTGAGTTGCCAACTAGGGCAGGCTTTTTTTTTTTAAATTATTTTTTTAGTTGTCAGTGGACTTTATTTATTTATATGTGTTGCTGAGAATCGAACCCAGTGCCTCACACATGCTAGGTAAGTGCTCTACCACTGAGCCACCACCCCAGCCCAACCAGCGCAGTTTACAGAAACCCTGTCTCAAAATCTAAGAGGCTTGGGGTGTAAGTTCAGTGGTAAAGTTCCTGAGTTCAGTCTCCAGTACCAGGACGAAAAAGAAAAGAAAAAAAAAAAAAAAAAAAGGTTGTTAATGGTCTTAAGGAATCTCACTGTATGAATTGTATTTCCCATTATGTATTCAGAGGGATAGTAGGCAGGATTCCCATCCTGTAATCTATTTGGCATCAGTGATATTGTATTACAGTGATTTTATTCTCACTAACCACATTTCCCCTGGGGTTTGAACTATAATAGAGTCGTGTCAAATATTGTTGTTTTTCTTTTCCTGTTTCAGCCTCTGACCCTGAAGCTTCATTTTGAAGCTTTTGCTTTGACAAATTCATTTTCTTCAGGAAGACTTGGCAAAAGTTTTCTCCTCTTGCCAGTTTGGGGCATCCTGACCAATTCATTGAAACTTAATGTTGTTCAGACTTCAAAACAGGGAACATTCTTTGCTATCCTTGTAACTCTTTTCTAAGTGACTTCTGGGTTCCCTGGAGACACTGGAAGCTAGGTAAATTATATGTTGACCACCATCACACTTTCTCTAACGGAATTTCTCTGTAGGCGACCCCTTCAATTTTTTTCTTTTCTTTTTATTTTTTATCTTTTTTTAGATGAGGATCTCACTTTATTTCCCAGGTAGGCCTCCAACCCAAGAGCCTCCTCCTGCCTCAGTTTCCCCAGTAGCTGGGATCACAGGCATGTGCCATCATGCCCAGGTCTGTAGGCAGTCCCTTCAGAGGCGTGTCAGACCATTGCCTGTATAATAGAATGTGGGGATGGCTAAAGAAGATTTTAGTTTTAATTTTATTTCTTCAAAAGACGGACTCTATTCAGACAAGTAGCTAGCTTATACCTTAGAGCTTTTTTTTTGAGGTGCTGCAGCATTGAGCCCAGGCCCTTGAGCATGCTGGGCAAGTGCTAGAGCACTGAGCGACATCCCCAGCTCATAGAGCTCCTCCTTCTAAAAAAGGAATGATATTGATTCTAATTTATAGTAAAGTGTGATAGTAAATGAGTTCCGTTAATCACAATATTTTGAATTTTGGAAGATGGGCATGTTGGCAGATAGTTTATTGTAATTTTTTTTTCTTTTTGCAGTACTTGGAATTGAACTACCACTGACCCAGATCTGTAGCCCTTTTTATTTTATTTTGAGACAGGGCCTTGCTAAATTGCCCAGACTTGTGATCCTCCTGCCTCAGCCTCCTGAGTTGCTGGGATTACAAGTGTGCTTCATTGCAGTTGGTTTGTGAAAATTCTTCATAGTGCTGTTTTTTGTAATAATGTCTCATTATAATAAAAATCTGTGTGTGTGTGTGTGTGTGTGTGTGTATTTGTTTATCATTTCCAGGACTCTTCATTCTTTAGTGTAGTTTCAGGTTTCTGTGTGATATCACTTTTTTTTTTAACTTTTATTTAGTCGTAGATGGACACAATACCTTTATTTTATTTATTTATTTTTATGTGGTGCTCAAGATTGAACCCAGTGCCTCACATGTTCTAGGCGAGCACTCTACCACTGAGCCACAACCCCAGCCCAGAGGACTTCTTATACTGCAAGTTTGCTGGCGATGAATCCTTTTAGCTTGCATTTCTGAAGGCGTCTTTAATTTGCCTTCATTTGTAGGCGCTGTGTTCACTGGGTGTAGAATTCTAAGTTGATAGATTTATTCTTTTAGTACTTTAAAGATGTTGATCTGCATCTGGTCTTCATGGTTTCTGAAGAGAAGTCTGCCGTCACTGGGTTTACTCTTTCTTCCTCTGTGTGTGATTGTTTTCCTTGGGCTACTTTTATTTTCCTTTCAAAGATATTTTTTTTGTAGTTAAATGCACATGATGTAAAATCTGTTATCTTAACCGTTTTCAAGTGTACAGTTCATTGGCATGAAGTACACTCTTAATGTTGTAGCCATCCTTACTATCCATTTCCAGAACTCTTTCATCTTGCAGAGTTAAAACTTGGTACCTAGTAAATTCTAATACCCAATTCCCATGTCTCAGCTCTTGGCACCTACCTGTGAATGTGACTACTCTTAAGTACTTCATATAAGTGGAATCAGAGAGAGTTTTTCTTTTTGTGACAAAATTGTTTCATTACATAATGTACTCAGGGTTCATTCATTTTGTGGCATGTATAAAAATTTTGTTCCTTTTAAGACTGAATAATATTCCATTATGTGTATATTCCACATGTACACATATGTATATTCCACATATACATTTGCTTATCCGTTCCTATCCATTCATTCAGGATGAATGCTTGGGTTGCTTATTTTAGCTGTTAGGAGTAATGCTTCTATGAACATGAGTGTGCAAGTATCTCTTAAAGACCCTGCTTTCAGTCTTTGGGTATGTAACCAGAGTGGAATTGTTGGATCATGTAATAATTCTCTGTGTGTGCGCGTGTGCACGCATGTGCATACATATGTATTTTCTTTTTCTGTTTTGATTCTGGGGATTGAATTACATTTAATTTTTTTTGAGAAACTGCAATATAGTTTTCCCACAGAGATTGTACCATTGTACCTTCCCACCAATAGTTCACAAGGGTTCCGGTTTCTTCACATCCTCACCAGCACACACATATGTATGTATTTTATAGTAACCATCCTAACTGTTATGAGGTGATTGTGATTTGCATTATAATTCTGATTTGCATTTCTCTGTTGGAGGTTTTGAGCATCTTTTTATGTATTTATTGGCTATTCTTGTATCTTCTGTGTTAGAAATGTCAATTCAGGTCCTGTGTGTGTGTGTGTGTGTGTGTGTTTTTTTTTTTTCCAGTGATGGCAATTGAACCCCAGGCCTCACACGTGGTAGATTCTTATTCTCCCACTGATTAACATCCAGCCTGTTTTTCTGTTTTTGAGTCAAATTGTTTGCTTTTTGTTGTCATTGTTGAGTCTTAAGGGTTCTTTGGATATATATCACTTTTTACTTATACGATTTTGAAATAATTTCTCCAGTTCCATTTTCTTATGACTCCTTTTAAGATTTTTCCTTGTCTGCGATTTTAAGTAATTTGATTTTCATATGCTTTGGTGGAGTTTTAGCTCTCTATGCACATGTTTTATTTTGACCTTGGTGTGTGTTGAGCTTTTTGAATCTGTGATCTTACAGTTTTCATCAAATTTGGAAAATCTTTGGTTATTATTTCTCTCATTCCAGTTATGCATCTCCTGCTGGAGATCATCCCATAGCTCAAGGGTGCTCTGCTCTTTTTCTCCTGTCCTGTGGTTTTCTCAGTTTCATTTTGCTTAGTTTTTCTTGCTGTGTCTTTACATTCACTTCTCCTCTTCTGCGTTAACCCCATGCACTGTATTTAACTTCAGCCTACTAGGCATTTTCTGCAATCTGGAGTTTTCTAGAAGTGCAGTGATGTGGTAGATATCAAGAAATTAACGGAATTTGTTGCCAAAATAGAACAGGTTTCTAGTTCTATACGATCTCTAATAAAGGTGCCCCAAACCACTCTGTGTGTTAAATTATCTTTGATGTCCCTCAGTTTCCACGTTGTTTCTCTGCCAGACCTACATATGTATTTATTGGCATGATTAGGCTACATTTTCTGCTGACATAGTCATTCCCATTAGTATTTGTTCACTGTTTATTTTTAAAGTACCGGAATGCTTGGTCTGCTTGGCAGACTACCTACATGTACCTATGCTTGTTTGTTTGTGGGATACAACTATCGTCTTGCTATAAAAAACATGAAACAGATTTTCATATTTTATTTACCATCCTGCTTATTTGTTAGTAATCAGAGAGTTGGATTACCTTCTGAAATATTCCTTTGGTTGTTGCTGTCATTGATAACCCCAGTGCCAGCTGACTTGGCTCTTTGTATTGCTGCTGTGATCTTTTAATGTTGGCTAATATTAAGTTGAAAAATTTTGCAGCCTGAAAATTGGTAATTGTTTATCAGCCAGTCATTTGCATTCAGTAGAATTTCTTTCTCCTTCTCTTGCCCCTCTGTCCCAGCAGGTGTTCCCCTCTGGAGAAGACACACCCACAGTTAGTACTTCCTTCAGATGTTGACACTTGGTGAACAGCTGCTCTTGGTCACAAGATTTAGAAGACAGAGTCCATCCTCCCAGATTGGATCTCTTTTTGTATGGATCTTCTATTTCTATGTCTTTTTTAAAAAGAACTTTTTTGGAAAACATTTTTGATTACAACTGTTCATCCTCATCTATGCAAAGAAAGGAAAGATATTGCTGGGATTTTGAGGAGGTATGTCTTTTTTTCTTCTGCAAAAATCACATCAGTGAGGCACTGTCAGAAGTACAAAATAATGACCCAGCCATGACACCTTCCTGTCTTTCAGTCACTGTGACAATTTCCTTTCTCCCATTTTCATTTTTTTTCTATAGCTAAACAAGAACTTTTTGACCATATACACTGTATTAGCTCATTTCTTAACATTCTTGCTGAATGTTATTCAACACTGGATTAGACTTAGAAGTAACAGGAAGCAGTTTGAATCTTAATTCCTTAAGTTGAGATTCTGACTTTAATGAACTTTATTCTCATTCTGCATAAACCTCAATGGTTTGGGCAAAAGTAGTATCTACAGCATAATAGAAGGATATATGATTTTATGGTTTGGTTCAGTTTCATTTGCATAATTTGCATGAGGAAGTTTGATAATGTTGATTGTGAACTAAAAATTGAGAGTCTTCAGACTTCAGTTTTGACATTATTACTGCCATGCTTTGAGAATTCAATTATATATTTGTTTTCTAACCTCTAAAATGGGCAAATTATTACTTGTTTTATGTGTCTCGTAGGGTTGTTAAGAATCAAGTGAGGGGCTGGGATTGTGGCTCAGCAGTAGAGTGCTCGCCTAGCATGGGCGAGGCCCTGGATTCAATTCTTAGCACCACATAAAAATAAGTGAATTAATTAAAGAAGAATCAAGTGAGAAAATGTCATCAATAGGAAGGATCGTTGCTGCATTGTGGAGCTGTAGGCCTGTCTGTTCTTTTCACACAAAGCCTCAGCTTTCTTCCTGTTGGCTTTCTGATGGTATAAGCCTGCTGCAGTCATGAAGCAGACTGCTAAATCTCCATTCTTAATCATGGGTGCACAGAAGTTTTTCTAGTGCTTAAGTTTTTACCGAATAGGTGCTCAAGTGTACTGTAGTTTGAACAGTGGATTTGTTGAATGTGATGTTAAGAAAAGGCACCTTCTTAGTAAGGAACCATTTATGAAGGTCTAGCAGAGACTGCTTTGAAGAGGAAACTCATTTGTTTATTATTTTGTGTATTTGACAACTGTTGAATGGTCATTGTGTTCTGGGTACTGACAAAAATCTTTGCTTCTGTAGAGCTTATATTCTATGTTATATGGGGACATAGAGTAAACAAGATAAAGATTAAATGTAAAAATGCAGCTTGTAAACTTTTTTTTAAAAAGTCTTTATTTATTTGTTTTTATGTGGTGTTGAGGATCTAACCCAGGCGAGGCAGGCGCTCTACCACTGAGCCCCAGCCCCAACCCGAAACATTTTTTTTTTGAGTCCTGCTAAGTTTCTTATGCTGGCCTTGAACTTGTGATCTTTCTGTCTCAGCCTCCTGAGTCATTGGGATTAAAAACTGCCACCATCCCTGGCAGTTTTAAAATTTATGATGACAAGGTCTAGTGAGAAAAGTAAGAGCAGGAAAAGGTTCTTTTGAGGGAATCAAGTGATCATAGGTGGCACAGGCCTCACAGATGACATTTGAGTAAAGGCTTAGCAGAGGTGAGGGAGTGAGTCACACAGATATAAAGAGCCCTCTGGACATGGTGAATGGCAAGTGCCAAGGCCCTGAGGCTGAAATGTGGCTGAAGGATGACTAGGGTGGGTGAGGGTGGCTGCTTTCTTTTGTGGTGCTATATTGAAGGGCTTTTAAAACTTTAGCATGCACGTGAATGACCTTGGAGATCCGTTTAATTCAGATTCTGATTTTGTAGGTCTGAGGTGAAGGGGAGTGCATTTCCAATAAGCTCCCAGGTGCTGCTGAGGCTGCTGTTGCTTTGTGGGACTTGAGCTTTTACCCTGAGTAAATGGGAAGTCTTTAGAGGTTTGGGGTAATTGGGTGACATGGTCTGATTTCCATTTTGTCATCATCCCTCCTATGACTGCTGTGTTGGTGGTCATCTAACTGGTGGTTAGATGCAAAGCAGAAGCAGGAGGACCACTTAGGAGTTTGTTATAATTGAAAGAAAAAAATGACAGTTTGCGCCAGGGGGTGCGTAGTGGCACACGCCTGTCATCCCAGCAGCTCAGGAGGCTGAGGAAGGAGGATTGTGAGTTCAAAGCCATCCTCAGCAACAGCGAGGCGCTAACCAACTCAAGGAGACCCTGTCTCTAGATAAAATACAAAATAGGGCTGGGGATGGAGCTCAGTAGATAAAGTGCCCCTTGTTTAATCCTTGGTGTTCCCCCCCCCCCCCCCCCCCCCCCCCCGGGGGGGGGGGGGGGGAAGACTTCAGGTTGCACTAGAAGGTAGCAGTGACTGTGGTGACAAAACAGTCTGAGTTGATAGTTTTCAAGTGTAGTCAACAGGTTTCGCGGGTTGATTGAATAGGTACTGAGAAAAAAAGTGGAGTTGGGGCAGATCTTGGAGTATGTAGTTGCCACTTGTTGAGATGGGAAAGACTGAAAGAAAAACAGGTTTGAGGGAAGAGGTCTTTCTGGAAATGAATGGTAACGATGGCCGATGGCTGCACAACATTATGAGTGGACTTGACAGGACTGCACTTTAAACTTAGCAATGGTTAACATAATAGATCTTACATCATGCACGTTTAACCACAAAAGAAATTTTGAAAGGAAGTAAAAGTAGCCTGAGGACAACCACCACAGGTCATGTGCAGAGTTAGAGACCGCCTTTCAAGACTAGTCTCTTAAAGATGTACAGGGGACAAGTTCTCTTCAAAGAATGTTAGAGTTTATAATTTTACACTATATAATACAGAGTATCATGTAGAAGGTGGAAAGCCAGGTATGTGGTGCACACCTGTAATCCCAGCTACTGGGGAGGCAGAGGCAGGAAATTCAAGGGAGTCTGGGCTGCTTGGGGAGAACTGTCTCAAAATTAAAAATGAAAAGGGCTGGGGTTGTAGCTTAATGATACACCGGGTTCAATCCCCAGGACTGTTTAAAAAAGAAAAATAGTGGAATGGTGGCAGGGATTTGTGTATTAGAACTAGGTTTAGGGGCTGGGGATAGAGCTCAGTTGGTAGAGCGCTTGCCTCACACGCACAAGGCCTTGGGTTCAATCCCCAGCACCACAAAAAAAGAAAAAAAACCAGATTTAGTTTCCAGTTACTGCTGTTTGCTGTGTGCAGTGGGAAATTTATGAGATTTAATTTTCCCTTCTGCTCTTGGGGACAATATCTACGTCCCAGAGTTTTGTACACTCCATATAATTTATGCTAACTTAATGCCTGGCACGTAGAGGACATAAAATTAATGCCAATTCTTTTTGGTAGCAAGTATTTGGACAGCATTGCTTACATTTTTCTCTCTCTCTGTTTATACATTGCAGCAAGGTAAGCTGAGAGGTTGGTTATATCAGCAAATCTGCTGTGTCTTTGAGCTTTATAAACATAAACTAGAAGTTGCTGCTTGTGTGTTTCTTCTGCACCATGACCAGTTCTTCAGCTGTCCAGCACCCTGCCAGGTGTCCAGCAATTCCATTTAGTTCTGACACTGTCTGCCTGTAGTTGGTCTCAGATCTCACAAGTTAAAGGGCTGAGTCCCACAAAACCGCCCCTACTTTAGATGCCAGTAACTAGTCCCTGGCCACCCACACTTCTGTCCACCTTGGTTGCAGATTCAGGGGTTCCCATGTCTTTCCCTGAGGTTCATAATCGACTAGAAGGACTCCTAGAACTCTGAGAAACACTTTGCTTACATTTACTGATTTACTATCAAGGGAATAACTCAGGAAAAGAGAGCCAGGGCAGGGCATGGGGTGGGATGCAGCGCTTCTATGTGCCCGCCACCCTTGTGTTCACCAGCCCAGAAGCTCTCCAGACCCCATCATTAGTCATCTCCAGCTCCTCTCCCTTCTCCAGGGGTTAAAGGTTCAGGACAACTGTCCAGTCTCAGGTTAGCTCTCTTGGCAACCACCCCCGTTCTGAAGCTATCTGGAGGTCCACCTAGAGTCACCTCATTAGTGTGAACTCAGTGTGGTCAAAAGGAACCTGAATAACAAGGTGGTTCTATCACTGATGAAATACCAAGGGTTTTTAGGAGCTGTGTGCCAGGAACCCAAGGGGGAAAACCAAATTTTTCTTAAACCACACTACTGTTACTTAAAACTAGATCTTGCTTTTAGGCCAGAGGGCTGGCGGCGAGAACTTCAGTGTTGAATTTCTGTAGGCCATTGATAGGTCCCTTTATTTGGTCATGGCGCCACTGCTTGGATTCTTGGTAATGTAAATAACATTTGTCTTTGAGATCCTTAGAAGAAAGCTGTCAGTGAAACAGCTAAATGCCGTGGTCTTGAGGAGTCTTTATCAAATTCCAGTATCCAGTATTGTTTCTTTTTGCTTAGACTTTTGTCCTCACATGGCTGTACTCTAATCCTGTGACGGAGCTGATTCTGCAGTGTGATGTGACAAAAACAGATCATTTCTGACAGGAACGAGGCTCATTTTTCTTAAACTATTGGGTCATGAAATTTGGGTTGAAATCCCTTTTGATGGTCTTTAATCTTTTCTTTTCTGTGATACTAGGGATTGAACCTAGGGCCTTCAGCTGGGATTACAGGCGTGAACCACCATGGTAAACAGCATGTGAATTTCCATAGCCAAAAGAGGAAAAAGTTGAATTCTTTGGAATTTCTAAAGTCTTTCCTGCTGGTAAAGGTCCCTCTTCCTCCATCTGCCTGTTTTAATATGCTAAGTGAGAGAGATGTACATTGTCTTGTTCAAATACAGGAGTTTCCTTAGAGTGTAAGCCTTAAATTAATATTTTAATCTGTGTATGTGTGTGTTTTACTGAGAATCAATCCCAGGGCCTTGTGTATGCTAGGGAGGCGCTATATCACTAGGCTGTATCTACCCCCCTCCCCGCCCCCACTTTTTAATATTTTTTTAGTTGTCAATGGACCTTTATTTTATTTATTTATATGTGGTGCTGAGGATGGAACCCAGTGCCTCACACACGTTAGGCAAACGCTTTACCAACGAGCTCCAACCCCAGCTCCCCCAGCCCTTTTAATATTTGAGACAGGGTC